CAGGGTTACTTATTTAATTTTGTACTTATGAAGATTATGAACTTCCAGCCCCCCTGTCCTTCATTATTCTATTTATTTTTTTCCACCTAGTTTCTCTTGGCTCTCCTAAAAGAAAAATCAGGATGTGTTTTACTTTGAAGAAATAAAATTGACATCAGCTCTGTCAGAAAAGAGCTTTCTCGCATGGAAAGTGAGTAAATCAACTGCTCACTAGAGCTCTCCCTGAAGAGGCTGATACACTGTACTGTGCTGAAGGGTTCACTTCTGAGAGGAAATGGGGAACACACCAACGTGACCTCCTTGACCCAAACATTTCAGAGTTTGTCTACTCCAATCATTGCTCAGTTATATTTTACCCAAAGCCATCTTCTTTGTTGTGGAAAAATTTCAGAACTTGTTTTATCCAAGAATTCAGGCAATGCTGATCTGGGTTCCCATCCACTGCTGCAGTGTGACAGTTTAGTGATTCATGAAGGCATGAGTTTGGTTTCTTTTGTGTTGAATAAATACCCACCCATGACAAAAGACAGGCAAGCAATATGTTTAAAGGGGAAGACACTACTTTTCAGATGATTATGGCATTTTGCTTTCAGTCTTGTGGTGCATAGAACTCCTGAGCACATGCTACAGGCATCCAGAAACTGGTATCTATTGCAGTTAAATATTGTACTAATTTTTGCAATACATTAGTTAAGTGCTCATTGCAAATTCTCCTGTCCACTCACTATTCAGAATGATTCCCAAGTCCTTTCAACAGATGGTATTCCAAACCAGAAGTTACTAGCACTATGAATTGCAAATATTTCAAATGAATGACACAATTTGTGCTGCAACCAGAGAAATAAACTTTTGTATATGACATGTCAGTTGCAATCTCAGCCATTGAAAAATGGATAGGGCATGAATTTTGGATTGTAGCTACACCTGCAGATTTCAATGTACCATTTGCATGCATCCTGCCTGAATTTTCCAGTTGCTGGTACATAACAGGATTGAAACAGGTGAATACCCAGAGGTAAATAAGGGGTTCTGGCAATTCCTACACTTGCAGAAAGCAAACCTGGAAAACAGGCAAACAAAACTTTTCTTTCAAAGCTGAATATTTTATTTTAATACTCTTTCCAAAATCTTATTGCCTCAAAGTTCATGCCACTTTCAGTAGACATTTTACACAACATCTCACCCCCTCCCCAAGGGATGGGTGTCTCTCACACCAGCTGATGGAGAGCTCACAAAATGAGTGATGGGAAATCCTTTCCCATCTTCTGATTCAGGATTTAGGGACAAAGTGGAGTTGTTCCCAAGGAATTAAGAAAGCTGTGGTCACCCTCATCTCATGGCCAAGCCACTGTGCAGTCTGCTCCCTTGAGCCAAAGTCACTGTAGCTGCATCTGGCCCCAGATGTGCTGTCAAATGTGTCTCCCTGCCTGGGTTACCCAGAGCACCACAGACCACTGGAAACATAAATTAACAACAAAAGGAAGAGTGAGAACTGTCTTCCAAGCAGTGTCTCTGTGTGTGAGGGCATCAGCCTCTTCTCACTGCTGTGTTTTATCACACTCTGCTTCTCCTTCTTTGTTTTCCCCTCATTCCTAATATAAATGTGAAAAATCCCAAAATAGGAATGTAAAAACATTTTGGCACTAACATTATCCGAAGAAAAAAGAAGAAATACCTTCCCTCCCTGCAAGGCACTCTCACAGGTCAGATGCATCCAAGAGCAAGAGCCTGAACTTGAACCCTGACAAACGCATTCTCTGCACTTGCGAGCGCAGAGGTGAGATGACAGTGAGCAAGGACAGGGTGGTTTGGACAGGTAGAGCTGAAGGAAAGTTCAGATCCTCTCAAGACTGGAAGCAGAGAGGAGTTAGAAACCACAGTCCAACAGTCAACCACTCCTGAATCCCTCTCAGGCTAGATGATCTACATCAGCTTAATACAACATTGCAAATCTCTGCCGTTTTGTGGGGGAGCAACTCTGGCCCTGATTCAGCACAAGGTCTGTCCTGCTCTTCATTGCTCTCCCTGCTAGGATACAGAAAGTAGCTGTAAAATCCCACTTGCACAACTTTCCCATTCTCAGAAACCCTTGGTCAGGAAGAAACAATTTTGAGGTTGGCAAAGAAACATGTGAACCAGGTCCAGCCCCTACACAGCTTCTCATTTGGGTTGGTACAAAGCCAATCCTTATGGGAAGGTTCCAATATTTCAGCTCCTGGGCACAAACCCCACGTGTTTCCATGCTAGTAAAACAAATGTATGTTATACCTTGAGAGAACCTGCCCCACTGAATTTCTGTTCCATTCATGCTGAGTCCAATCTCTTTCCTGTTGAAGAAAGAACCACTGAAGAAATACAAATTCCACCAATGAGCTTAACTACCCAAAGACTACAACGTGCTCTTATCCATGCAAGTATTCCTGAGGAGCATAGCTCCAACAGAAACACAGCCTGAGTCTGGCATCAAGCCACACATCCATCACAAGCAGAGGGCTCTTGGACCATAGCCCCCAAACAGTTTTTAATCAACAGAAGATAAACATGTTGTGATGTCCTTCATGACTTTTAAAGCTTGAGAGGCCTGTCTCAAGGTTCTGACAAGTCATGCCGTGTCTCACATCCATTATACAGCTGAGGACTCTTTCCAGAACTTCAGAGATCACTGCAGAACGGAGCTTGGGGCAAACCAGTAGATCAGACTCAACTGGGAAGTGCCCAGTGTCTGATTTAGTCTCCAGACAGGTTCAGCTCTGGACAAAAATGCAGTTACCAAGTCCTTATTTGCGTGTGAAGAGCCACGAATCTATCTACCTAAAGAACCAAATCTCCTCTAGACAGTTGTGTAGAAATATCCATGGATGATTTCAGAGATTGCTGTTTGTTCTGACAATACAGGAGACAGTTTTTCCCTGCCTTCCTCCCATGCTCTGCCTCCCACCTCTCCCCTTGGTGAGGAGCCAGCAGAGGGTGTCTCATACCACGGCCCCCTCCAAACCCCTCTGCACCCAGCAGAGCACAGCCCACAGCACCTCTGCTTGCAAGGAATGCTGTGGTGGGAGGTGAGGGGTGGGTTTCAAATGCACTGGGACCCCAAAATGCCAACTAGCAGGACTATGCCCTGAAGCTCACATGAGGCACGCTCAGCTCCCAGGGGTCCTGCAAAGCCAGGTGCCACTGCCTGCAGAGGGGCAGGCTTTGACTGGGTGACAGTAAAAGGCAGACATTTTGCAAGCTGCTAAACCAAAATGGCAAGCACCCCTCCTTCCAGAGAGCCACTGGAGTCCCCCACCAGGGTCAGGGCATTTGGGGAAGTTCATCATTTGCCTTTCATTACTTCAGAAGATGCAACAGCAGCACGTGGTGCTGGGAGGCAGAACCTGAAAAGGGGCAGAGGAGGGTGTCACAATCCCTTTGCTGGAGAAGAGAGAGTAAGAAGCCCTCAGGATGTTCCCTGTGGGGCCAAGGTCAGACAGGGAAACAGGGCTTGCCAAAATGCACACTTGACTTCAGCATTCTCCCAACTCCTTCCTGAACCCACCTCAGGAGAAACCACACATGCCGACACTTATCTGTTATCTACACACCCGGGTTCTCTGCACACCCGAAGGGTTTCTGGGCACTTCTGTTTCTCCCTCCCATTTTAAACAGTTAATCCAACAGACATTTCAAACGCAGAGAGGGAACAATCCCCAACAAAAGCTCCAGAGCAGTCCTCCTCGTGGCACCTCTGGGCACTTTGCAGCGTCTGAGAAACACTCACCTTAGCACATGCGTCGACCCGTTGATGGTGGTGGTGGAGCAGGGCACTGTCTGCCCCAGGATGGAAGGCCTTCGGTACCGCTCGTCGCCGCAGCACAGGATGATGAGGAAGGCACGTCTGAAGGACTTGTTCAGGAAGGCGTAGAGGAAAGGGTTCAGCCCTGAATTGATGTAGCCCAGCCACAGGAAAGCCGTCCACAGCTTCCCCGGCACCGTGTAGCTTATGAAAGGGTCCACCACGTTTGTGATAAAGAAGGGGGCCCAGCACAGGCAGAAGCAGCCCATGATGATGCACAGGGTCTTGGCAGCTTTGGTCTCGGCCTTCATGCGGTGGGTGCTGTGCTGGTCTGGGGGCTGCTCCCTGCCCTCGGCCGGGGCCCCCGCGCGCTGCAGCACCCGGATCTGCCGCGCGTGCGCCCGCGCCGTCACGTAGATGCGGTAATAGGCCAGCACCATCAGCATGAAGGGGATGTAAAAGGCCACCACGGAGCAGGTAATGGCGTATGGCTTGTTGACCATGAATATGCAGTAAGTGGAGTTGGAAGCCTTGTTGAACTGCCTTTGCTGGATCTAGGGCAGCAGGAGGAAGGACAAGGATAAAGAGGAAAAGAAGTTAATGCTTTCTCCTCCCATAGCAGCAGTCTTCTTGCCAGCACAGTCCACCACCGCTTTCTGATTCTCTCTCCTCCTTCCTCTCTCCCACCCATGGCACCTGCCTTGCCCATCGCTGCATCTCCTGCCTGTGCTCACATCCTGGGCTCCTCACACCTGCTGGTCCCCAGGTCTGCTGGACCAGCCCATGTTGCAGCTCCAGCAACCTAGAACATGCCTCAACCTGGACAGGGAAAATCAGCTTAACTCCCCATTTCATACACAGCAAAGGGAAATCGCTTCACTTCATGTTGTGTTTTTTTGCAGTGCTTGCTGCTTTGCTCATTGGGGCACAGTTTTACACCAAGGGCACACAAGTTTCACCCAGGCAAGTCCCACAGGGGCAATAGGGGAGGATCTGATGGCCAGGGAAGGGACCTGCAGCAGCTGGGGGTGACACTGGGCTTGCCAGGCCCAGGAGCTGTAGGAGCAGCCAAGGCAGAAGTCTGCAGGCTGATTCCATAGGCAGAGATCTGATCAATGATTTGTGATAGAAACAGAAACAGCAGATGAAGAAAGGGGTCTTCCATGTGAGTTTGGGGAGTAGGAGGCATAACTGGGACAGATGGGATTCTTAGCTGTTGTTTTAACCCTGCAGTTACTAAAAACTGCCCAGTGAGCGTCAGCAGGTGACAAGGAGGGGCAGGGCCTGCCCTGGTATTGAAAAAGGCTGGTACAGCCAGCTCGGTGTCAAGTCCTTTCTGAAATGTCAGGGGTAGGAAACCAGTGGAAGAGATCAGATACCTGACATGATTTGTTAAATCAACAAAATGCAGCTTCAGTTTCTACCAGCTGCATGTCCTAGAGGTGTTTGTCTGGCTTTATCACCTTGGCTTGACAGTTTGCACCTCTTATTCTCCATGTGCCAAAAATGATTCATAGCTCCTTGATTGAGACTTGGCATAGAAGATGTCACATCTTTTTAAACAAGCTCTTCTAAATAAGGTGTTTTCACACTTTGCCAGTTTTTAATACCTGCCCCTCCAGCTTGGAAGAGCAGATTTGCAGCTCTTAACTCCTCTCCCCATTGAGAGGATCCTGGAAGTGAAGCCAGACTGCAGAGGAAAAAACTGACTCCTGCTGAAATGACTTGCAGGAGGATCTTTACACTCTCTCCCTCTTCAAGACTCACACCAAGACAGGGGATATTGATGGGAAGGACCATCCCTCCTGGGCAAGTCTGGGTTTCCTGGCTCTCCAGACATTGCTAGTACAGCAAGGAGGGACCCTTGGGCTAAGTGGGGGGTGACCCCGAGAGCTGCAGATGCTGGGGGGAGCTGAGGACTCCTGAGGTGCCCATCAGAAGCTGGCTGGGCCTTGGCTTGTTTTCAAAGGACTACTCACTGAACTGATTAGCAGACACAGGGAAAATCCTCTCCCAAAGCCACCACCCTCTTTGTGACAGTCCTTCCAGGTCATTTCAAACCCCCTTAAAGAGACCTCCAGAAATCCAGCAGCCCTTCTGCATCAAGAACAAGAAGTTTCTCTTTCAGCCTCTCTTGCCTTCTTTTCCTTGTGCATTGCTTAAAAAAAAAATGAGAGCACTGGAGATATTTGATACCAGGTTGGCAGACCTCCTCAGCTACTCACCAGATCGATGATGCCAATGCTATTCCAGCCTTGCATGATAGGGAGGAAAGAAATAAACGTTGGGATTACCCAGCACCCTCCAAGCATGACAGCGATGCGCAGAGGAGTCATCTTGTTCCTGTAAACCAGAGGCTGGCAGCAAATAGCATAGTACCTGCAAGGAGAAAGTGAGAGGACAACCATCATCAAAGAAGACTTCCAGGGCTTCTAAAAATAAGGCAGGAAAGCATTTTCTTCAGCTTGTGAGTCCTGCCTTTCAAAACAGAGGGGAAAATAGAGTCTATAGCCTATTTCCATTGATTGCCTCTCACACCAGGAGCTCAGGATATTTTTACAGCACGAGTAAATAAGGTTTCATAGTGCTTTGCAAGGGAAAGCAAGTATTTTCTGTTTTCCAGCTAGGAAAAATGGGGCACAGATTCATGCTGTGGTTTGTCTGAGGTCGAAGAGCAAGGGAGTGACTTCATTCAGCCCTACCCTCCCTCCACTCTCAATCACCAAGCTGTCTGCACCCTCCTCACTACCACGAAGGAGTCCACCTTCCTTCCATTCAGCCATAACTGAGTGGATGTTGAGGTTTTCCTAACTGCAATGGACATTTATTTTGACAAGACTGCAAGAGCTGTTACTGCAAATTAATGAAGTGTTTCAAAGCTGTGAAAATGTTAGCAAAATGAAGTGTCTTTTTCTATAACCAAGCTCCCTTTCTGCCTCCCAGGAATCATCTTCTCTCCTGGCTGGGCTTCAGCCTCTTCCAGAAGGACAGAAGAAACATCTGCATGTGACTTCTACTCTTTTCACTTTCAAGGGGACATGCCCTGTGCTCTTCTTTCTCCTGCCAGTCCTTCCAACACATTCATAGTACAACAGACCCCTGCCTTTAAAATAACAGCTGGCTGTGAAATTAAAATGTTTTCTCAAAGAGATACAAACCCAACTCTTTTATTTTGTCCCTGTGCTACTCACCTGCCATCAGATTTCTACATCAGGAAGGTCTATCACACCTAAAACTGGAAATCCTTTTGCTCTGAAAGTAATATATGCTCATAAGCATAGCAAACCAGCAACCCTACCATCCTACTGTAGATCTTTGGTGGTTGTGACCTGAGAGTCTGCCTCAGGCTCCCCATGAAGTGATTTTGACCTTTAGTATTTGGATTTCAGCCCATGTTGTAAAGAGGCCAGTACTGACGTCCCCACGACTGTGGCAGAGCAGGGAACTGGGGTCCAGAGACACAAGAAGTGCCTGTCAGTTCTCAGCTCTTCTAAATAACAAAATCTGTAACTCACCATGTGCCTGATGTATGTATTTTCCTAGTGAATTAAATAATGATCATCTGGTAGATGTAGTTTCCAGGTTTGGTGAAAATCTGCAACATGGTGCCCCTCAGGATATGAGCACTGCATTGAAGAACTGGCTACAGTTTCAAACACTGTGTATAAAGGGAAGGAATGGTCCCCATCTGAGGTTTTTTTGAGCAGAGTCTCACATCAAGGCATAACGTGCACAGAGAGAGACCCTCACTGCTGAATGCCTATAAAAATCAATTTTATGAAGTCAGCAGAATCGTGCATTGGAGACATGAAATTAGCAAAAACACACTAAAGCTGGACCACTAACCTAAGATGCAGCACATTAAAATAAACCCTGTGTGAATGCACACATACACAGAGTTTATGTATTAGAAAGATGTTCTTGAGATGTACAATTTATTTCACCAAGATCTGAGTGGGAAGCAGAACTTTTGTGCTAAACAGGCACAAAAATCTAAGAATTTCCAAATTTTCTTAACACATTCTCTTGAAAGTCATGTGGAGTCTGAATAAAGCAACTTAATTGCTTTGTTTTGATAAAATCAGATTATATCTTCACACAAAAGGTTGAAGTAATAGCAAAGTGTCAAAAGAAAACATTTTTCAAAAGTCTCTTTGAAACGAGATTCAAAACGTCACAGGGGAAAAATGTTGAAACAAGCATTCAGCTATTTCAGTTTGATCATTTCTACATTCTCTTCTGTTTCCTGTGTGCATGAAAATGAACCTGTTCCTCTGAAATGTTTCACTTTCAAAGAAATGGTATATTTGACAGTAACTGTTATTTTAGAGCACTGGGTGAAATGTCCCTCTCCTGGAGCTCATGCTCACAGCCAGTGGCTCTGATTCCTGTCCCCACTAACACAGCCCTCACATCCCTCCCACAAGAAGACAAGGAGAGGCTGGATTCTTTACAGGAACAGGATTTACCTAGTTTTGGACTGGATCACAAGTCAAACAAGCAAAGGTTTCCAGTCTCAAAGGTCTGCAAAACCCAGCTGGGTGAGACCCCGAGTTACCCAATGAAATTAAGAGAGATGGAAGTTTGAGGTTGGCCACGTTTCAAGGGAAGGCTGGATCAGAGACCTCCAGAGGTTCTTTCCAACCTAAATTTTCCAGAGTTTATCAGACAATGCAGACCAATCATCCAGACTTCAATATCCTGATTATTTCAGAGGATAGAATAAATAATCCCTTTGTTCCTATGATAAGTGCCCTCCTCATGGCAGCCACAATCTGCCTGTGTAGCCTCATCTTGTGTTGCCAGAACTTACTGAGTCAGGATTTCCCCTACTTTCCAGATTTCCTTCCCCCAGGAAATAAACTGACCTTTGGATTGAAACAGGTATTTCCAGTAAAGTTTTGACTGCCTATTAGGACAGATGGTGCCTCTCTTGGCATTAATTGTGACTCTTCTTCTGATGCTAAACACAAGGCTGATATATCTGGCATATTCAAATGTTTACTATCTGAGAGATACCTACAGGGAAGTGCTACCCAGTGCTGGACATCAAAGGAGTACTGTGCCATGCCTGATGGCAAGTGACTGCAGGAGCCCACCTTCATTTGCAGAAAGGGCAAAAGAAAATAAATAAATAAATAAATAAATAAATAAAAGGGGGAAAAAAGCCAAGACACCAGCTACCATTTTACAAGTTGCATAAGCAATCAGAAAAGGAAACCCACAATGCATTGCTAATTAACTACAGCAGGAAAACAACTCTTCCAAGCAGTGTGGGTTATTACATGTCTACACTTCTACCTCTGCTGCAGTTGACAGCATTACACTGACTTGTACGTGCTATTAAAGGCCATTAGAGTAAAAATTATGCCTGTAAAAATGACATTTTAAGCTCTCCTATCTTCCCTCCCAGTGATTCAGCAGCAATTTTCCTCCACTTACGTGTCAAAACATTATTTAAATATATATATATTTTATTTTTTTTTTAATTTTTTTTTTCACTGCTGCTACTGTAACTTCCTTCATGTTCCAAAAGTCAAGTTGGTTCCTCCTGCCCTACACTGGTTTTGGTAACAAGGTTCCACAATCAGAGTGTGGGTGACAATTTTGCTGATGGTGAGGGAGGCAGAGAAGCACACCATCCACTTTTCCATAGCTCAGCAGGATTTCCATTCAATGGCCCAGAGAGTCAGATAATAGAAATCTGTGTATCTTAATATAAACCATTGAAGTCACACCAACTTTTGCAGACCCTGGTGATTTGATGCATGTGAAGGTTTGGGCATTTAAGCAGCTATTTATTCACTGAGAAAAAAGTAATTATATCTCTAAGATTATCAATAGCTTTAGTCAAAAGCTGAAATTAAGACATTTTCTTATTCTGTATTTCTGCTTCCTTCAAAGCTAGAGCTGTCTTCCTGTACTCATAAAGAATATCTCTAATGCACTGCTAGGACAGTGTGATGGATGAATATAAAATGTAATACATACACACTATTAATAACATGTCCAATTTTCATTAAATATTAATTCTTCCTATTATCAGCTCAGACCCATGTTTCTGCAGTTCCTTGAAAATGTGAACTTCCCTGTTTCCTCCTGCAGAGCAGATGAAGCACATCCTCTCCTCTGCCACTGCTGGGACATTCTTTGCTGAAGGGGAAACACACGAATCTCTTCCCAAAGCTCTAGATCTTCCAAACAGATCCATAAAGCAAAGGTTATTATAATACTTTTCCTTGCCCATATCAGGTATTTGGCACATTAAGGAATCAAGTGTTAACATTTTACAGAAGGCTCAAAATAAATCCACAGCTCTTAGGGCCTTACTTATGGCTCTTAAGGCTCTCACAGATGTCTGGCTATCAAGGACCTGTGACCTGCCCAGCATCCCTTGGTGGCTCTGTGAAGCAGAGCAGTGGCCAGGCTCCCTCTCCAGGAAGATGAATGTGACGCTTCCTGGTTTTCCAGTGAAAGTTCCAGTGATAAGGATGGCAGGGGGACATGAGTGATGAGTGCCAAATGGATCAGATCCCAAAAGTGAATCTCATGTGTTAAAAACTCTCTCAGCCAGTCCAAGGGGATGCAGGAGCATCTCTGCTATGTTCTACTAAAGCCATAAAAAAAAAAAGCTCAAGGTTCAGCAATTCAGTGCCCCCATTTTCTCTATATTCCCTCATGCAGAAGCTCCCACAGTCACACAGAGGAGCCTCATATACAGACTGTCCAAGACCTGAAAAATCAAAATGTTTTATCCTTCCCTGACAGTCCTTGGGCTTTGCCTGCTGGTGAGCTCCTCCTCCCATTTTCTCTATATTCCCTCATGCAGAAGCTCCCACAGTCACACAGAGGAGCCTCATATACAGACTGTCCAAGACCTGAAAAATCAAAATGTTTTATCCTTCCCTGACAGTCCTTGGGCTTTGCCTGCTGGTGAGCTCCTCCTTACAGGCAATGCTACACCTAGAACCAGAAAACAGATATAAATGCCTGGTGAACTGTACACCAGCAACACATTTGTACCTAACAGTCTTCAGCACTTTGGGTAAAGAAGACATAATATCTCATTCCTCAGCACCAGGATCATCGACAGCTTGTCTAGTGTTAGATTGTGTACATGTGAAGACAGGAGATGGCAGATAAGAAGGAAGCTGTGAAGCCAAAGAGAAAATAGACAGAAAATGAACCTCAGTTACATTCTTGCCTTGTACAACTGAATTCAGAATCTGCTGTGCTGGTCCAAGGCTTTTCTGGAAATCTAAGTGCTGTAAATCAAAGCTGTTTGCTGTTGCCATTTTGCCTGTGTGGAAAATCCTACACGTACATGCACACACATATGCACATCCCTTGTATCATACCCTGCTTTTCCCCTGGAAAGA